ACCTCAAATTTGGAACCAAATATATAATGATATATGCGAGGGACCTCTACCTGGAGTAGAGCCGGGTGTAGATGGGAGTGAGAGTGACAGAGAGGCCTGTCCACCTTTCATGTTGCTCACTGTCAGGTGTTGCCCTGGCAACCAGCCCGTACTGAAGAGGGAGGATTGTCTCAGTGGACTTCAGTGACCCCCACTCCAGCACCGTTGACCTTGAATGGGGGTTCAGAGGCCCAGGCTGTGGGCTTCCCATCCAGACAAAGTGCAGATTGCTGGGCTCTCTTATTGGCCCTCCCCATTCGAGATGCAAGAACAGTAGGTTTATGTGGCAGGAGAGTGATTGAGGGGGTGCCCTCGAAATGTTGACGCCCTCTCTCCGCCTTCTTGGAAATTGAAGTAAAAATACGGCCTTGGTAAGGGGTTTGCTGGAGATCCCACTCCCACTCCCACCAACCCCACCCTGCTGACATGAGGTCGATCCGGAGAGTTACACTTTATCTCTGGGGACCAACTGGCCCTGGTGTGCCTATGACCAGCTGAACTGACGACCCAGCTGCCCCAACCCTTTTGCTACCTGAGCAGAGGGAGAGAATGGCCCAGGGTAGTGTGATGGAGCTGGGGAAACTGGTATTGCCTGTTGGCAGCATGAAGGTCTGCCTCAGCTCCTACCATGCCCACTCCAACGGAGGGTAAAAATCCCTCTCACCGGGCTCTTGAACCTAACTGTTCCAAAATAATTCATGATTCCTGCCATCTTTTGGTTGTGTGATGATTTTTCAGGCTATGTCATAGAATCTCTAGAGTGCAGCAAGAAGCCGTTCAGCTCATTGAGTCCAAACTGACCCACTGAAGAGACCTAGGCTGCAGAGACCTAGCCATCCAGATCCAGTCCCCCACCCCATCCCCATAACCCCACATTTCCCGTGGCTAACCCACCGAGCCTGCAAATCCCTAGACACTACGGGCAATTTAGCACAACCAATCCACCTAACCTGCACATCTTTGGAATGTGGGAGGAAACCGGAGCACCCGGAGGAAACGCTCGCAGGCACGGGGAGAATGCGCAAACTCCACACAGACAGTTGACTGAGGCTGGAACCGAACCCAGGTCCCTGTTCACGGTACTGGTGAACAGAGCTTAGATCAGCGGATGTTTGTGGGAGCTAGGCGTTAGGGACTGAGTTTGTGTTTCAGCAGCTTGACCTGTCGTGTAACTCACTGTTAAAGGTATGCCTCAGCTTGGCAGTCAACATAGCATGTGAGCTGAAGCAGAGAGTGCGCTACATCGATTCAACAGGGGGACTGTGTGCCTCTCGGCTTCTGCGTCTGATCCAAGAGCAGGTTAACAGCTTGGAAGGACAGGTAGGAGAACACTCTGTTCCTACTCAGGTTTGAGCCTGCATTCCCTTTAAGAAAAAAGTCTGTTTAATTATGGTTAGAAAGTATCTTGTTGTCTGTGCACAACATTGGAGGCATGATGGGTGCTATATAAATGCAAACCTTTTTGTTTTACCCCTTCTTTACTCAGAGAGTAGTAAGGGCGTGGAATGCCCTGCCTGCAAAAGTAGTAGACTCGCCAACTTTAAGGGCACTTAAATGGTCATTGGATAAACATATGGATGATAATGGAATAGTTTAGGTTAGATGGGCTTCAGATTGGTTTCACAGGTCGGCGCAACATCGAGGGCCGAAGGGCCTGTACTGCGCTGTAATGTTCTATGTTCTATGTTCCTTCTCCTCTTTGCCATCACCCCTCCTTCTTTGTCACATTCTGTCTCTCGGCCCGTCTTCCTCTCCTCCTTCCCCCATCCTCGTTTCACAGAGTGAGGCACTCCAGCGGATTGAAGTGGCGCGTGTGTTTGAAGTGTACCATCTGCTAGATGTACTGCAGGACCTCAGGACCAGCTTCACAAGCCAGGTACGGAGTGGAAAGGAGTTGGGGGCGTGGAAACGGGGTAGCGGTGAGGGCTGGGGAAGGGAGGAGTGAGTAAGGGATATCAGGGTATTGAACTTTACATATCCACCGGTCACCTCTCCGAGGCTCGTTTTCTCCCCTCTGTATCCGGTTTCCCCTCCCCCTCTTCCCCACTCATTCCGTGCTGCTAACTGCTGGTACAAGAAGTAATTAGGAAGGCAAATGAAATTTTGTCCTTCATTGCTAAAGGGATTGAGATTAAAAGCAGAGAGGTTATGTTGCAGCTGTACAAGGTGCTGGTGAGGCCACACCCTGGAGTACTGTGTGCAGTTTTGGTCTCCTTACTTGAGAAAGGATGTACTGGCACTGGAGGGGGTGCAAAGGAGGTTCATTAGGTTGATTCTGGAGTTGAGGGGGTTGGCTTATGAGGAGAGACTGAGTAGATTGGGATTATATTCATTGGAATTCAGAAGATTGAGGGGGGATCTTATAGAAACATATAAAATTGTGACGGGAATAGATAAGATAGATGTAGAGAGGATGTTTCCACTGGCAGGTGAAGCTAGGACAAGAGGGCATAGCCTCAAGATTAGAGGGAGCAGATTTAGGACTGAATTGAGAAGGAACTTCTTCACCCAGAGGGTTGTTAATCTATGGAATTCCTTGCCCAGTGGAGTAGTTGACGCTACTTCAGTAAACGTTTTTAAAGATAAGGTAGATATTTTTTTTGAACAATAAAGGAATTAAGGGATATGGTGAGAATGCAGGTAAGTGGATCTGAGTCCACAAAAAGATCAGCCATGATCTTATCGAATGGCGGGGCAGGCTCGAAGGGCCGGATGGCCTACTCCTGCTCCTAGCTCTTATGTTCTTATGTTCTCCTACTGTTTCTGCAGGTGACCACTGCTCGCAGCTCCGTGAAAGCTGTAGTGATCGATTCAGTCTCTGCTGTACTCTCCTCTGTCCTGGGAGGTCATCAGCTCGAAGGTGAGATGCTGTTTGAAAGACTCCATTCAACTGCAATGAGTTTAAACTCAGCAAGGGAGCTGTCATACCAGATTAATGCCTGCAGCTCACTCCCAACCTCAGCTGCACCACCAGGGGGCAGGATCTACAGAGAGACCCAGCTCCTTGTCTGAAAGGGGTTTCAGAATAGGTTGAATAGCATGCACCATTTCATGTACAAAAGATGAAAGAAGCATCAAGTTTGAGGTGTTTGGGATCATTAGAAGAGAGAGAGAGAACCATTATGGTGGCTCAGTAGTTAGCACTGCTGCCTCACAGCACCAAGGGCCCAGGTTCAATTCTACCCTCGGGCGACTGTCTGTGTGGAGTTTGCACGTTCTCTCTGTGTCTGCGTGGGTTTCCTCTGGATGCCCCAGTTCCCTCCCACAGTGCAAAGATGTGCAGGTTAGGTGGATCGGCCATGCTAAATTGCCCATCGTGTCCAGGGATGTGCACGCGAGATGGGTTAGCCATGGGAAATGCAGGGTTACAGGGGATGGGGTAGGGGGATGGGTCTGGGTGGGATGCTCTTGGGTTGGTCAGTGTGGACTTGTTGGGCCTAACGGCCTGTTTCCATACTGTAGGAATTCTATCATTATTGACAAGGCGTCAAAACCTCAAATTAGCACAAGGCCATTTGGGGTGACGTGAAGAGTCACTGTTTCACCCGGAAGGAAGTAGGAATCTAAAACGTTTTTCCTCAAAAGCTGCTGAGCTGACTTCATTGAAACTTCAAAACTGAGATCGATACATTTTTATTAGCTACAAGTGTTCAGGGATATCAAAGTGGCAAGTAAATGGAATCGAGATACAAATCTACCAAGATCTTAATGAAGAATCAGCGAACAGGCTTGAGGGGCTGAATGGCCTAGTCCTGTTCCCAGGTATCTAGTGACCATGTTAGGTGCAGCATTGGTACGGGAGCAGATCGGCTCCTAATTCCTTCCGGTCGGGATGGTGAGCAGGACACACAATACAGGTCAGGAATATGATAGCAGCCCCTCAAGCTGATTGAGGGGCTGGCAGCTGGAGTTCAATTCCTCCGCACGTGGACAAAGGAGAGGAGCTGAGATGCAGTGAGGGACAGTACAGCAGCTGGCAGTGTACAGGCAGTGAGCTGAGGGCAAGGGGATCGCGGTAGGCCAGGAATGACCCGGTGTAGCAGTACCATCACTCCGGGGATCACCGGGAATCATAAATTAATTTCCAGGTTACTCTTGTGAGTGATAGCCAGGGGAGAAGCCATGGGAATGTTAATTGAGTTGTGCTTTTAATCATTTCTAAATGACAAGTGGATCATTGATGGGGCAGGTGTGTACGGCTATATAATTGACAGTGATGGATCACTCAATTGGATCATGTGTCTCTTTCTGTGATTGGTGGGGGAGGTGATATACTTCCTGATTGAACGCGTTGGGAGACCAATGATGGGAATATGGCTGCAGGTCACTTAATGCTCCGACTGGAATCAGAAATCCAAGGTTATTGGGAATATATAAAGTAGCCAGGACAATGGTTGCGCAGAACCTACACACTTCCATCGTTCCCTAAGTGGACAAATTGAAGGAAAGTAGGAGGAGATGGCAGCATAATGGTGTGCTTTAGAGATGAAAGGTTTTATTCTGGGGACATATGTTCCATTCCCACTGTGGCAGCTGGTGGAGTTTACATTCAAGTGATTGTAAACAGAAATTTGGAATTGAAAGTTTGTCATCAGTGATGATGACCACAAAATGATCATTGATTGTCCAAAGCCTATCTGGCTCACTACTGTCCTGTAGGGAGGGCAATCCGCCATCCTTGCCTGGTCTGAACTACATGTGACTCAAGGCCCACAGCCCTCTGAAACATGCCATTCAAGAGATTAGGAATGTGTGACAAATGCTGGCCTTGCCAGTGACACTGGCATCCCGTAAAAGGAGAAAGCTACAGGGAATAGTCAATAGATATCAAAGGTCCCAGCACAGGAGAAGTCAGAGGTTCAGTAAGATGGCCTAGTCCAGTGGCTATGACTTTTTTTTTTCCCACTCCTGGGACATGGGCGTCACTGGCTGGTCAGCATTCATTGCCCATCCCAGCTGCCCTTGAATTAATAAACCATTTCAGAAGGTAGTTAAGAATCAACCACATTGCTGTGTGCCTGGAGTCATTTGTAGGCCAGACCAGTGAGGATGTGGATTTTCTTCCCTGAAGGGCATTAGTGAGGAAGACTGGTTTTTCCCAATAATCGACAATTGTTCCAGTTTTTTTTATATTGAATTCAAATTCCGACATTTGCCGTCGTGGGATTTGAACCCAGGTCCCCAGAACATTAGCTGAGTTTCTGGATTAATAATCCAGCGATACTACCACTAGGCCATTGCCTCCCCAAATATTAGATTAGCAATTTGAAGCTGTTGAGTTTGACTCCAGCTGTGGCAAGTTGTAAATGTTGAAATCTAGTCATTCATGTCTGATACCAAGAAAATTACTTGTATAAATGGAATTTGGGTAAAATCGATCAATGTCCTGTGGAGAAAAGAGCCTCAACTGTAATGACTGGGCCTTCCTTGGGATCCAAGAAGGGCTGAACTTTGTCTTCCTGGAGACCGAGTCCCCATATCTCCCCTCGCTCTCAGATTTGGCCGTGTGTCCAATGGCATGTTCCCATCCGTACTTAAATTAAACAATCTACATGTGAGCCAGCAGCAGTGGCCCCAGTTTGGGATACTGAAACACTTGTGTGTTACAAAACTTCTTCCATCTGGGTTTTGGGGAGCAAGTTATTTTAGAGAGATGGCCACGTAAGGAGGTGTCATTTTGCAGTGTGTATTCAGAGTCCCTCAGCATCTGCATTGCTGTCTTTCTTTCTCAACACTGAAGGCATCTCCTCGATTTTGAACAATCAACTCTGTATGTCTTTGTTGTTTTTTTTTTGGTAGGTATGTCTCTCATGATGCAACTTGCAAGGGAACTGAAGACGATGGCCAGGGAACTAAATGTTGCTGTAATAGTGAGTACTGGAACCTCAGACTTGTCAATGGATTTTCAGATTGCAGTATAGCAGGAGAAAAAGCCTAACACAAAGCTTTGATTATCATAGTACGAGGATTTATCAGAATGATACAATAGATGAGCAACTTCAGTTACTCAGAGCAGAGAATGTTATGAGGAGATTTAATGGAGGTGACCAGAATTATGAATGGCTTTCTTGGAGTAAGTGAAAAGAAACTGTTTTCACAGGCAGTTTGTTCAGTAACCAGAGGGCACAGATATGAGAACCAGAAGGATGAGAACCTATTTTATGCAGTCCGTCGGTGTGATCTGAACTGCTTTGTCTGGGAGGATGATGTGAGCATATTTAACAGTAATTTCCAACTGGCTAATTACCTTTAAAAGAGAATTTTCAGGGCTAGGTGGAAAGAGCTGAGCACTGAGCTCAATTGGATAGCTCCTTCAGAGAGATTGCATTGTCACATTGGGCTGAATGGCCTCAAGTGTTGTTTGGACAGACTGCTTATCTAATGCGCAATGTTGGACGAGCAGAAATTTCCTTTGGTTAAATGGTGGAATAACTGAAATGGCTGTTTTTGGTCCCCACTTCAATCTCTGTTCCCTAGCGACTGACTCCATACCTCTCCCTAATAACTGCCTGAGACAAAACCAGTCTGTTGCGACTTTGTGTCATGTTTGACCCTAAGATGCACATCCATCTCGATGTCCACACCATCACGTAGGATGTCCAATTCCATCTCAGTAACGTTGCCTGGCTCCACTCCTTCCTCAGCTCATCGGCTGCTGAAGCCATCATTCATCCCTTTATTACCTCTAGACTTGACCATTCCATGCCTCTTCTGGCCGGCTTTCCACATTCCAATTTTACTAAAATAAATATGGATCAGGTTAGACAGCCCCTTGAAAGGGCCCTCTAAGAAAAAAAAGTCCAAAATGTTTGACTGAAACCTATAAAGGAAACATATTAAATGGTCGTCTCTCGGTGTGACGGAACATCCCAGCTCCTGTGGTATCCACTGCTCCCTAAAGACCTCACTCATGCTGGTGGACTCCATACGCTTCACCTCCATGGACACTGGGGTGTAGATGTTTCCACAGAAAAGGGGTTAGGCAGCTGGGTGCTGAGACCCCCTCCATGGCTCACAACTGGACCTGTTTGTGATTGCTTTGTCCATTTCCCACATTCCACCCTCTAAACGGGACATCGTCCAAAACTCTGCCTTAACTCACACCGAGTTCAGGTTGCTTGTCGGTACCTATCTCGCTTACCCCCAACTTTGGATTGCGGTCAAGCAATGTGCATATTTTTAAAAAAAATCCCAACCTTGTTTTTAAATCCCTCCCTATCCCTCTAATCTCCTTTAGCTATGTATCCCTCCTTATTAACAGCCTTCCTCAAATTCTCGTATTGTGAACCTACTCTGAGCTTAAATATTCCACAATTTGTAGCAGTGGCTTCAGCTGCCAGGACCATAAACTCTGGTCTTCCATCCCCTCCAGCTCACTTTCCTCCTCTGGGATTATTCCTTAAAACCTACCTCTTTGTTTGGCCACCTGCCTGGATACATGTCGCTCAGTGTCCTACTTTGTTTCGTAATGCTCCTGTGAAACACCTTGGGCTTTTTTTATTAAACATTAAAGGCACATCCAAAACATTGTTCCTTAATTATTATGATTCCAATCCATTTCTTATCCATTTGTGCATTTGTTCCTTTCCTGAAGGCAGAGTTCTTTGATAAAATAAGTGGAAAGTGCCCTTCTTTTAGCATCTTTCACAATCGCAGGACAAAGTGTTTTACTGTCAATTTTAAATTCTTTCAAAGTGTAATTACTTAGTGTAGGAAATGTGGCAACTGGTTTTCACACAGCGAGCTCTGTGAACAGCAAGGAGCTAATGACCTGGTTGCACTCACCGATTTATATTGACTTTATCCCCCACTTACCCAGGTGACCAATAGTGTCGTCCAGGACCCTGGTGGCAGGGGTGTGAAGCCAGCTCTGGGACGCACGTGGAGATACGTTCCCAATGTCCGTGTCCTGCTCCAGCGTGGGACAGAAGGAGATGATCTGCAGCCAGTGAAGCGCACGGCAACTATACTGAAGTCATCCCGGCAGGTAGGGGATGCCAGAAATCCTCGGGCATGCAGGGGTGTGGGGTAATGGGTGGCATCCTACCTCCTTTTTCCGGCTGTACGCCAGCCCCTTGCAACATTGGCTTGCAAGACACACATCATCAATTTTCCTTCTCTCTCTCTCTCTCTCCCTGTCCCATTATTATAAACAATGGTTATCCTGCCTGTTCCTTGTTCCTTTTGGTTTTTACAACCCCACCAATGCAAATTGGCCAAGTCACTAATAACTACTGCTTCCAACTCTGCACTCCAGCCCCCAAACTCTTTCTGGCCTGTACTGTGGAGGTCTTTCCCGTCAACTGAGGCATTGCAACTTAACGCTCCCTTGTTTCATTGTTTAAGTGTGAAGTAGAATTTCCCTTTAAGGGTAGTTCTCTTCACTGAGACAGGAAGCATGTTCCTGGAGTTATCTGGTGTGCTCATGCCATCTTTTACAGGACGCATTTGTCCCACAGATGCTGTTATGAGGCAGGGTCTCAAAATCAGTGATATGGACATTGGACCCTCCATTCCTGCTCTCTGGGGAAGCTCTGTACCCATACTGTACATTAGTAAGATCTCCTGTTCCAAACTGCGAAAACAGCTGCTGTTTTAATCCCTCCCACTTTCTAATTCATTGAACCTGGAGGTAGACTCTGATCACCTCACTATACAGGCCTGCATTGATATAGATGAGAACTAGCTTGGGAATGACGAAGGTATTGACGCTACAGGCTGTCAGAAACCAAGAGGGAGTGATTATTTCCTGGTAGTGCAATTGGGATTGAGGGAAGTTGCTCTTGATAAGCACACTATTCAAGCACCTACGCAACCTCTGCACAGTCTTAAGCTGCCTCCATTCAGCATCTTCTGACTTGCCCTGTGGAGAGGAAGGTGGCTCTCAGCAGCATTGTTAGTGTCGAGTAAATGCTATTGGTGTGAGCCCAGCATCTCACTTCTCCATTATCAATCCCGTCCATTCACGCTCTGTCTCCTAAACAGCTCAAACCCTGATCGTGTGTGTGTGTTTTTTTTTCCCCTCAGCCTACCAGAAGAAGCACAGAGTTTGACATCACTTCCTGTGGAACACTGACCAATCGAACTACTTCCTCCCAGCATTCTGCTGGTGACCTTGACAACACAGATTGAAGCTTAGCTGGACTTTCTGACAACGGAGAGCTGTGTGTCAATGTTTTATTTTAAATTGCAGTGAGTCTGTTTGGTGGTGATGAAGATGGCGCCATTGTGTCTGGTCACCTTTTGGGAGCAATTGCATGACAGCCGGTTGTCCTTGTACAAAGCCCATCCTTTATGTTGTGGCTGCAGCATTAGGGTCACCTCCCCCTCCTTGTAAGGAGTGAGTGGTCTGCAGAGAGGTAGCACGTTGGAGAGATCTTGGAAATCTCAAGCCCATAGTGTACACGGGTGCCTGATAGCAATGCATCAGACAGTTCGATTTAGTTTCAGGATTTGTTTTCAGTGTACAGTTTTAAAGACTTGGCTCTGGGTGAAGCTAGTAGCTGTAGTTTTGGTAGGACATTAAACAATGAATGGCTATGTATGATTGGCCAAATGTCTTTATGCAGCAACAACCAACAACTTGCATTGCAGTGTGAGGTTACATTTTTAAAGCCTGCGTACTTTCCCTATAATCTTACCCTCGGGAATTGATGGGCAGTCTCGTCCTGGCACGTTTTTTTTTCGGATAAAGAAAAGCCTTGTGCACTAAAAGGTGCTGTTTGACATTCAGTAACTGGGAGGTCCTTCTGAGCACTCTGACTTTTTAACCTTGGGAATGGGTGGCCTGGAACGCTGAAGAGATGAACTCTCTTGTAGCTGGAGCTGAAACCACATTGACAGTCATACAGCATGGAAACATACCCTTCAGTCCAACCAGTCCACGCTGACCATGTTCCCAAACTAAACTGCTCCCACCTACCTGCGCTTGGCCCATAACCCTTGAAACCTTTCCTATTCATGTACTTATCTAAATGTCTTTAAACATCGTAACTTTACCTGCATCCACCACTTCCTCTGGCAGTTCATTATGCACACAAACCACCCTCTGTGTGGAAAAAATGCCCCTCATGTCCTTCTTAAATCTCTCACCTCTTACCTTAAAAATATGCCCCCTAGTTCTGAGCTACCCCACTTTAGTGAAAAGACCCTTGTCATTCACCTTATCTATGCCCCTCATGATGTTATAAACCTCTATAAGGTCACCCCTCAACCTCCTGTGCTCCAATGAAAAAAATCCCAGCCATTTTCGGTCTATTTTTATATCTCAAACCCTCCATCCCCAGCAACGTCCTGGTAAATCTTTTCTGAACCTTCTCCAGTTCAATGATTTCCTTCCTATAACAGAGTGATCACGCTGTGCTCCATAGGAGGCCTCTCTAATGTCCTATACAACCTCAACATGGCATCCTACACTCGAAGGTCTGAGCAATGAAGGCAAGCATGCTAAAAGCTTTCTTAACCACCCTGACTACCGCTGATGCAAATTTCAAAGGATTATGTACTTGAACCCCTAGGTGTCTCTGCTCTACAATACCATCCAGAATCCTATCAATAAGTGTATAAGTCCTGCCCTTGTTTGTTTTACCAAAATGCAATAACTCGCATTTATCCAAATTAAACTCCATTTGCCTCTCCTCAGCCCATAGACACAAATTGATTTCGATCTCTTTGTAATCTTAGATAACCTTTATCACTGCCCACTATGCTGCCAATTTTGGTGTCATCCGTAAACTTACTAACCATGCCTCCTATATTCAAATCCAAATTGTTTATGTAAGTGACAAACAAAAGTGGACCCAGCACTGATTCTTGTGGCACGCCACTGGTCACAAGCCTCCAGTCTGAAAAATAATCCTCCACCACCACCCTCTGTCTTCTACTGTCAAGCCAATTTTGTACCCAATTGGCAAGATCTTCCTGAATCCTACATGATCTAACTTTACTAATTAGTCCACCATTTGGAACCTTATCAAAGTAGTGTTGTCCCCACCCTTTAGTGTACGTCAGAAACATGAGCTATATACAGCAGACACCTCCCATCCCTGTAAAGTTACAATCAGCACTGCCTTTATGAAATCCTGCAAATACTAGCAGAATAGGCGTACCAGCATGAGTGTCTTCTCCCAGTTCAGTATATCCCTACAGAGGCATTGATCACTCCTGACCAGTTGTGATGGGTGGGCCGCAATGCCTGACCCAAACCCCACCCCCCCCCCACCAAGTAAGTGCTCTATTCCAAGCTCCGCAATGGTAAGTGATCAGTAGGAGGGCAGAAGAATTGCTACAAAGACACCCTGAAAGCAACTCTAAACAAAAGCAACAACAGCCCCACTGACATGTGGGAATTGCTTGCCCTGGAATGCAAACTGGAGAAGAAGCATCCATTTCGGGTATCGCATGTGGAGGCCAAACACAAGCAGCGGAAAGAGCGGCCAGAATCCAGAATGTTCCAGCCACCCGCCTCATCAAACACAACCAGCCCCACGAGTGGCCGAGTCTGCAGTTCCAGCAACGGATTATTTAGCCACCCCCTCCCCCAGAGTAGAAGTAAGTCATCCTTGACCCCAAAAGACTGACAAGAAAATATCATTTGAGTACCCAATCTGGCCAAGAGGCCTTTGTTTGCGATAAATGCATCGCGATTATCTACATCACCAGTGCTTCGACCTTGACCTACTATGTCTGTACCACAGAACCTTGACCATAAATCACGTGAGATACCTGCATTAGCTGTTCAGAGTGCAAAATGTTTCAAGTCCAATTGATCAGGAAGAATTAACTTTAATGCTTTGCCATGTTGATAACCTACCATCTTGCCATCACAACCTACAGCTTTGCCAGGGCCTTTCCAATCGATCATTCTCTTAAAATATACTAAATTTCCTCAATATGTTTGAAAAATACACTTGACCTCATCCTCAAAAAGATGCTTGCTGAAGATGCATCTATCCATGACAGTGTCGGTAAGAATGACCAATACACAGTCCTCGTAGAGACAGAGTCCCACACTGAGAATACCCGCCATTGTATTGTGTGACACTAACACCGACTAAATGGGACAGACTTCGAACAGATCAAGCAACTCAAGATTGGCCATCCATGAAATGTTTAATTACCAATAGTACTAAAGTTCAGTGCTCTAGAACTTGGTGCAAAACTGGCATCAACCTGACAATATGGAAAATTGCCCAGGTATGTCTTGCCCACAAAAAAAAGGCACACATCCAACCTGGCCAATTACCTCCCCATCAGTCTACTCTCGGTCATCAGTAAAATGATGGAAGGTGCCATCAACAGTGCTATCCAGACTTAGCAACAACCTGCTTACTGACGCCCAGTTTGAGTTCTGCCAGAGCCACTCAGCTCCTGATACCAATACAGCCTTGGTTCAAATATGGATAAAAGAGCTGAATTCCAGAAGTGAGATGAGAGTGACAGTCCTTGACATAAGGCCGGGTTTGACTGAGTGTGGTGTCAAAGAGCGTTGGTAAAACTGAAATCAGGGAGATGGTTGTGGCTGCTGGAGGTCAGTCATCTCCGCTCCAGGACAGCTCTGCAGGAGTTCTGCAACCACCTTCAGCTGCTTCACCAGTGATTTTCATATTATCAGAACAATATGATGATTATTAACGAGCTATAACCAATGGCTGTGTTACACTATGTAACATGCAATAAGTTGTATTCAGGAGGAGTGTGTTTCTTTAAGGCTAAAAAGTCCAATTGCTAAACGAATATAACAATTTCATCTTCAATCCTGCTGTGCTTGCTGCTGCTTCTGTGGAACTGAAGTGTAAATAAGTCTGATTAGTTGTTAGTTGAGTATTGACTATGCTTTCCACATTCGCATTGTGAGGAAATCCGATATAAATCTCAACTTTTGGGAGTTGCAAGCAGGGTTGGTTGTTAGATGTTGGGTACGGCACTCTCTGGCCAAGGGGGTAACTGCGGCTAATGCCCCAGGTATGGAGAGCAGTCTCTCAGTGTGAGGTTCGTGCAGTGACCACAAGGTGGAGCCTTCTGACATCTTTTTAAAAACTAAAACATAAAATTAATTTTTTTTTAAAGAATGTAATGCCATGTGCAGGACTAGAAGAGAATACTTTCTGTAAGTGACGGTTTGGAGAGTTCACCTCTTGTGATGAGCGTTTGCAATTCCCTTTCATTTCAGGTTTCTAGTCGACCAAGGGCCTTGTCCGAATGGCACAGACCTGGTCAGAGATTTACTGCCAGGAAGATGCAGTTATTAGCTGTGTGTTTCAACCTGAGGCACTTATCCTCTTCTTAACAAAATAGGACACTCTGTGATTCACTCAGAAGCTCATTTTCCAACTTTGGGCCTAACATTTTAGGAAAGTCAGTCAAAATGACCGTGGTGTCTCTGGCATGCTCATCAGCTTCCGTTTGCCCTTTATGTTCCTGTAAATATACTAACCTATTACTGTCAGTGTTGTAGAGTATTTCACAATTTATTCTTTTGTAAACACTGATTCTGTGCTTGAATACAGCATAACGTTAACCATTGGCGAACTCTGCATCCACTTCTTCTCTCGGCTGTGTTAGAGAGCCGAGTGTGCCAGCAAGCTGTGGACCAGCATTTTCTCAGCAATAATTTGCTACCTCCTCACTCCCAGTGATGGTGTTTTACACTATGCCAGATACAGAGCATAACGTAGTTGCTACAAAGTGTCAGCACCGGCTGAGTAGTAAAATGGTGTTCCAGCTAAGGCAGAGGATATGGGTTTAAGCTGCAGTCCAGACCTCACTGTCTAGGCTGACACTCCCATGCTGCACTGGCATATGTGCCAACTTTTGAGTTAAACCTCTGTCCCATCTGGCCCCAGTCAGATATAAAGTATTCCAATGGGACTATTTGAAAGAAGACAACATGAATCCCCCAAATCACAAGCAGGGATTATTTAATAATCTAATCTGTACAGGCAACACATCCTACATCACAACAGTGAGTGCATTACTTCAATGGCTATAAAGTGCTCTATGATGTCCTGGGTTAGTGTAAGATGTTACACAAACGCATACATTTCTTTCTTCCTTCCTTCCTGGTTAAAAACAACAGGGTAAGGATGACAATTGTTGAGTTGGGATTTTCCAATTCTGTGCGCTGTTCATTGGCTTGAATTCTTGTTTGTTTTAAAGGACCGAAATGAACAGGCAGGTGAGTGTAAAATTATAGCTCTGTACGTTGTTTGTTGGTGCTGCTGATCATTCGAACATCCACTTCCAAAACACTAAAGCAGGATTTGAACAATGTCCCTTTAAGTAGCACCATTGAATCTGATTCTTTTCAAGTGTCTACCTTCTACTTGATGACTTTGTTCAGTATTTCCTAAACTGGATGAATGGTCCCTGACACAGGGAGGTGCTGAGCTGTGATCCTGTAAGGAAAACTTGCAACTCCAAGCAATGGGTTCTTGACTAAACTGCCTGAAGTAAATGGACAAGCAAAGTCAAAGCAGAAAGCTTGAAGGCAGGACCTTACATGCATTAATGGACTCCGTAAATATTAATCGATCTTTATTTCAG